CTCTCCAAAATGCTAAGGAGCAGTGATGTCAGTTTGAAGACTTCAGGCACACCTGATTCAGGCCAGGGTCTTGTCAGTCACTTGCTGTGCATTTGAGAGCTGGGCAATGGATAAGGATGACAGAAGAATTGATGCTTTGGAGATGTGGTGTTGAAGAAGTGGACGGCCAAAAGAACAAACAAACAAGTCTTGGAAAATGGGCAGCCGGGGTGTTCCTTGGAGGCAAGAATGAAAAACTTATCTCACACATGTTAGGTATTTTGCTAGGAGAGGCTGTTCCTTGGCAAGGGACATCATCTTGGAAAGATGGAGGGTCAGCAAAAAAGGGAAGACTCTCAATGAGATGGATTGACACAGTGAACACTGCAGTGGGCTCAAGTGTGACAGAGATGATGAGGATGGCCAGGATAGGACAGGGTTCAGGTCTGTTGTTGATAGAATTGTTATGAATCATAGTTGACCGCACCTAACATTAGTAACTATGTTTATTAGGAGTGCCACACTCTTCAGCATGCCCTAACTGTAGCACTCAGGTATTGTCCTCATAATCCCTCCTGAGGAGCAGTGATTAAAAACCTCCTGTCCCAAGGTGAGTGGTTTCAGAAGGTGAGTGGTTTCAGAAAGCCTGCTGACTTGGTCAGGCTCTTCCCCTCCATTCCTGCAGAGTGGTATATTGAGTTGGAACAACTCATAGCCGACCCTCCAGTGGGTTTTTAGAGGTTATAAATTGCACATGGGGAGATTGCCCATCTTTGCCTCTCTGAATGGTGGGTTTGAACTTTTAGCTTTTTGGGTTGGCAGTGCAACTCCTTACCACCAGACCACTACAGTGGGAACAGGTTCCTAGCTGACCCCTTCCATTGGGTTTCCTAGACTGAATTAAAAGGAAAGAGACCTTCCTCCCTGCGAGCCGCTGGGGGAGTCAAAGGGCCCGAGAGGTGTGGCCTTTGGGTCAGCAGAGCCTCTGACTCCTGTGCCCTTTGATGCCAGGGCTCTTGAGCGGGTGCTGATTTTCTCTCTTTTCTGAGGAAGAGGAACTATGCTTAATACTCTGTAGGAACAAATGTTCAAACAGATTTTACGGTGAAAACAAGCACAAGAGAGATTGAATATGAATATACAAAATACAGTTTCCAACCACCCATGTACTCCACCAGGCACAGTAAAGGAGTACGTGGGCATTTTCCCCCTCTTGCTCCTTCTACTTGGCTGGTTCACTGTGCTTGTTATAGCCTGGTTAGTTGAACTTCTTGTAGGCTGGTTCACTGTGCATGTGTCGTTTGGTGCTGTGAAGTTCTGCTCAGCAGTGTTGATCTGGCGGGTGGTGCTGGTAGGAAGTGCAGGGCGCGTGGTCTGAGTGTGCCACTTGAGCGGTGAAGAGCTGATAGGTTGGCTCCCTTCCGCCAAGTCACTGGCTCTGGAGTGGCTGTCACCACTTGTTTGGTGGCAGAGGGGACAAGCAGGAAGTGGGAGAGCTGTAGGTGGAGTGGGAGGGGAGCAAATGGGGAAGGTGAAGAAAGAGGGAGGGATGGCAGATGTGGAAGGAAAGCCATCATGGTTTTAAGATTTGACACATGCACTGTGTTCTCAGAGTCAAACGCTTTTATTTGTTAAAATCTAAATGTGGAGAAAAAAACCCTTTTCTGCGTCAGCTTACCAAGAGTTGTTTGGGCTTTTTCTTCTAGTGCTCATTTTTCTCTCTTGTGATCTCTTGCCCCCTTCCTGTCTGAGCACTCATTTTCACACCTTACCTGGTGCTGGAGTCTTGTCTGTGGTATAATGTTCCCATGTGGCTGAGGGAGCACTGCCAGTGTGTGTATGTGACATTTTGAGGTTTCAGAGGGAAGACATTCTCTGCCTCAGGGAGCTGGTGCTCCAGACGTCCCGAAGCAGCTGAGGAGTCACCTAAAACAGAGAAGTAAAATTCTGAACTGCAGGTAGAGTTGAGGTATTGTTATTGCCCACGACCATTGTCATCCAAGAAAAAGCAGGTGTCAAATCACAGCTTCCATTGTCATTCTGGCTTTTTAGCAGAGATTTCTTTGCAGCTTTGGATGTCACAGCTATGGCTCACAGGTCTTTCTGGTTTTCTCAATAAATGCACTTGATTTTAGTGCTAAGCCAGGGAGCTGTCTCCCCACTGCCTGAGGTATCCTAGTATGTCTTAACAATTTGGCGTTTAGTTTATGAAGCAAGAATTGAACAGTCTTTGTGGTGGAAAGACACTAAATGTGTGTGTGTGTGTGTGTGTGTATGTATTGCTCTGTCACGTGCAACTGTTACTTAATAGAAAATGGATATTTCAGTATTAATAGATATTTCAGTCATATAGAGAGTAAGTATAAAAAGCATTTATGAAATGAATGAATACAGGAGCAGAATGAAGGATGAGTGCTCTGTATGTGTACATGTGGCCCTTTTGCTTTTTCTGGCAAATTTTGAGAAACCGCTGTTGAATCTTGAGAAAAGGAAAGGTAGAAATCTTTTCTGTGGACAGTTTTCTCGTGTTGGATATTAAGAACACTTTATAACTTTCTACATTCTTTTCTCTGTTTTTTAAGTATTTCCATCTTTCATGACTTTGAAAGCCAGACTGTCTTAAGTCTAAACATTATCTCTGTGTATGGCATGTAATAATCATTCAAGTGCAAAGACACTGACATTGAGTCAAAACCAACTCATAGCTGACCTTCCAGTGAGATTTCAGAGGCTGTAAATTGCATGCGAGGAGATTGCCCATCTGTCTCTGGTTGAGTAGCTGGTGGATTCGAACCGCCTGTCTCTGGGTTGGCAGTGCAACTTCTTCTGCACCAGTCCACCAGAGCTTTAATAATCTTTAGACACAGTTTTGCTGCAGGGGGACATTTCTGACCACTGGGCTGGCCCTGCCCCTCTCTCTGTTCCTTCCAGTAAGTTTGTAGTTCACTAGAATTTTCACTTTTTTCAGAGAAAAGACAGAAATGAATTTTTTTCTCTTAGGCATGCATTTTGTCAAAGAGTGTGGATGGAGGCATCTCAGACTTTAGAATTGCACTTCAGCTCTTTTTAAGAAACGTAAACTTTTACAATTAGAAAAAAACATGTAGCTTAATGTTCAGAGGCTGTTAAAAATTAAAGTTGAATGATCTATTATTTGATATTTTTCTTTTAGCTAGCCATAGGCACAAAATAAGAGTTTCTATTAGAACAAGGGGAGAAACACCGTATTGTAGATACTAACAAAAGCTTTTTGCTTTTTCTTATTCCCCTTTCTCCAGTTGGGAGGGGGGAATTGAGGTTACCGTATTAATAACAATATGCTTGAGGATTTTGGAACATGGAACAGGTACTTCAAGGGAATTCTATGCATAACTGATTCTTGAAAGCCTTTTTGCTGTCTGTGGCATATATATCACTCACTTGCTAACATTTTTAGCCTCTTAGGGTTTTTTGGAAGTTCTGTCATGTGATGGAAATCTGTATAACTCTGAATCTGAAGGAATGGGCCATACCCCACAAGTTTACCACCAGAGTCCTCTTGGGACATAAGTGTCACAGAATAATGATATAAAAATTCATATTACAAATGTTTTCTTCTTGATTTCAACATGCTTCCCATTACTGAAAACACATGGAAGTAACACAAAATTCAAAGCCGAAAACAATTCAGCCATGAAAGAGCAGACTTTTTAATCTAGTAAATACAATGACCATTGTGCTTCATATTTCCTTTAAATCAATGGGGAAAATTGATTACATTTCATAAATGGACTCAATCAAACCTAGCCCTTCCAGGCACACTCAGAGGAGTTCCTCTTTACAGGATAGTACTTCACTCACTAAGCCTAGTTGAAAGAAGTCTAGAAGAGACTTATTTTAAAACAAATTTAAGACTGTAGATATGTGTTAAGTGTTTTTAGTCGGGAGTATTACTTACATTGTCAACTCCTGGCTGTTGAGATAGAACCAACTTGTAGGTGACTCTCCATTGAGCTTTGGAGGCTGTAAATCACGCTATGAGCCTGTCCATCTTTCTCCTATGGAGCAGCTGGTGGCTTTGATCCACTGGAGAGATGCAGCCTTTGGGCAAACAATATAGCTCCCTGCAGACACTGCCACTGGAGCTCCACATTGTAGGCTTATTGTATAAGGACTTGTATATGCCCACACGTGAGTGCTGCAGGCATGTTTCAGTGCTACGTACATGGTTTTCTCAGCATTAAAAAAACTTCACTGAGATCATCAGTTCTTGTTCTTTTTGTTTTAAACTGGATCTCAGATTTAAAGATTTTCCTTTATTATTCATCTTATTTTTTAAAAAGGAAAAATAAACTTAACAGGTTTTCGTCCTTCTGTCATATTTTAAAGAAATTTCTGTATGTAGGTAACTCGTGGTTGCTGTGATGCTCTGTGACACTGATGTGTCAAATGCGATAATGGTTACCCATGGTGGACAGTGTTTGGTGGAGCTGCCCGTTTAAAACAAGCTTGGAAGTAGGAGTAGCAGCCTCTTCGGAAATAGCTTGCCTCCTTATGAACTTGGAGAAATGATGAAAGTTATACAGGTGTTCAGGTCTTTCATTCATAGGATCGCTATGAATTGTCTACAACTTGATGGCACTTAACAACAACATTCTCACAAATCTTAGGAAAAGATTTGAAAGTCAGCAGTTTTAGAATATTTTCAGACAAATTTTATGTAGATGGCATAGACAGGAGAGACTTGGATTGCTGTGGAGGATTCTGAGTGGTACTGGGAAAGGGCTGAGTTGCTTCCTCCAGTCAGCGGTGCTGTCTGTCATTGGGACACAGATGGTACCTGTTTCCCTTTGGCTTTGTAGACCCACTCACTCCTAGGCAAATAGTTGTCCTCCACCCTGGGCTTTTACCTGGAAACGCAAAGACTTCTCTGTCTCGTTTTGCATGAATTTGAAGCTAGAGGACATGTTAGAAAAAGCTGTTCTTGACTGACTGACTAGAAAACAAATAATTGTATTCTGTTTCTGATCTTCATTTTATAGCACCAGCAACAAGTGGTGCAGGCTGTGGAACGGGCCAAGCAGGTGACCATGGCAGAGCTGAACGCCATCATTGGGGTACGTGGCCTTTCCATTTTAGCTCTGAACTTCAAGTTTCTTGTCAGCTCTCTCACTTTCTCTTTTTAAATTTTGTTCCGCTGAAGGGACAGAGGCAAAGCGAAAAATTAAGGACTTTGTCATAACATCTCTTGTCAGCTTTGATGGCTACTTAATAAAATCTTGGAATACAGTCTCACAAATTTACATTAATGCATTTAAAAACCCTCTCTACCAGTAGGGTGAATGGCTATTTATTTTTTGTAATGTTTTCTTCTTTGCCATCAGCTTCTGTTGCTAGCTTATGTCAGTAAAGAGGTGTAGATTGCCCAGATGTTATAAGGAAGCTGGCTGGCTGCTCTGCTCTCCTCAGATGGTGGTATAGAGTATCTTAAATTATTTTTTTACTGACATTAAAGTTTATATTTAGCATTGCTTCTGTTGTGCAGTCCCCATGAAGAGAGGTTCTTGTGGCCTAGTAGATGATTTGTAGTAGAAATAGATAAACCATATTTAAAAAAAATAAAATTGGTGGCTCAGTTACAGAGTCACGTCAAGAAAATAATAAGTAGCATTAATGTTGCACAGAGATCTTGCTGGAATATGTGGGTTTGGGCAATCACTCCCACAACACTTACATTTTTGTTCTTCCAGATTAAAGTAAGAATCAATAACATAAGGGATTAAAACTTAAATAATGAAAGTGGGATATCTTAGCTGAAAACAGCATAGTGTTCACATCTCCATTGGTGCTGCTAGTCTAGTAGTCCCTGGGTTATTCTAAGACACTACCACTGTACTTTTCTTTCTACTTTCTCCCTCCCCCCAAATACTTTCTTTTGTGTATAGATGATATACAAAAAGTCTTTTCTCTTTTTATCCCTCAGTGTATAAAACACACTTTGAAATGCTAATTATTCCATTTACTTTCATTAAAATTCAAATTGCTGAGTGAAGATGCATACAAGGGTCGCCTGAAAATCAATCTAAAGTGAAGATAGTACTTCAGTTATTCCTCTGTCTTTTCACAAGGAAATCTACTCGGAGATCACACTGCGGAAGGTGGTGGAGCAGTAGTCTGATCTTAGCTTGGTTTTCAATGGTTGGCTGTGAGCTGTATTTTGTGTCAGTCCCTCTGGCCAACAGAGACTCCTGGTAGTAAAGGAGCAGAAATAAATGGAGAGAAGTGCTCTTTAGTTCCTGAGCAGTGCACCTTGGGGAAAAGAGGCTGAATCAAGGGTTTAGCATCACAAGTAACGTTTGTGGAACATCTTCAGTGCTTCATTATGGGCGGTTGCTGTGACAGATGGACATCTCACAGCTTGGTTTTTTATTTCATAAAACAGTGTTATGGTGGCACACAGCAACAACAACAACAACCAAACAGTATTGTAAATTTTAAATATGAAATGTTGGAAAGCCTTGAACTTAAAAATAAGGGAGTATGTAATAGCGTGGTATTCCTGCATTACGCTGGGGTGGTGCAGGATGGTTCGAGTTTAGCTTTATGGTTGAGTTTTTTGTTTAAACTAATCTTGTGCAGGGCAGAAGGAGTGGACCCTCCGTTTCTCAGTCTCTCCAGGGTGCAATGTTTATGGAGTCTCTGGAGAACGCGTGTGGAGTGATGACTGATGGAGGTGATTGCTATGTCATTTCTTGCTCATGTCTTTGACGTGCTATCACACAGACAGCTGTCCTGCCTGATGGCTGATTGTCAGCCCTTCCTGGGAAACAGAACATTGTTTTTGTTTCTTTTCCCATTCTTACAAGTGACTGTTTGTACAGTGGAGAGATTCAGCAAAGTCAAAACCACATTGTTTGGTGTGGGATGTTGTTTCAAATATCTGAGGGGAGATGCAGAATCAGAACAAGCTCTCTTCTCTTCCTCACATCAAGTACAGTGTTAATACTGTTTTTTATTCATTTCATTTTTACATACTAGGTTTTGAATGAGCTGGCTAGCTAGCACATTGCCTTTTCTCAGGGAAGCTGTGATTTTTTAAAATTTTTTTTGTTCTTTATTGGATAGTAGCTGAGTTACTATGAACCTAGAGAAAGGATGAACGTTAAAGAGGTGTCCAGGATTTTTGTTCATAGGGTTGTTATGAGTTGCCTATAACTCGATGGCACTTAACAACAACAGTTGAGTTACAGACAGACATATTTGTGTATATATAGATTTAATTCGTAAAATAAAGCTAATTTATGATCCCCCCAACTCCTTGAAAACTTGATGAACTAGTTCAGTAGAGCTGCATGCTATCAGAACGCAGACCTGTAGCTGATGGCCTTAGGGTGGGGCTGGGAGGATGTGTCTCAATAGAAAAGGGAGTTAAAGAAAAATACTGTCACGTAATCTTACTATTCTGAAAATAGGTTTTAGGAGCAGAGAAACCAGCCTCGCAGTTTAAGGCCCACGGACTCAGTGAGGTGCGCCTGAGGGTTTTCCACCCCTGCTGTTCTGTGTGCCTCCAGCCCTGGGTAGTAGTACCTTCAGCCCAGGAGTTCGAGTTGTAATCTGATGGAATTCTCCATTCCCCTGCTGTCCTGGTGCCTGGTAACTGCACGCTTAGTGTCTGTCCCTTTGGGCAGGGCTGTGCTGTGACACGCCTGTGCAGTGATTCGTTACCAAATAATGATGATGAGTCCTTTTCAGATTTCTGTTACTTGATGCTTGGTGTGTAGTCGCCAGTGACTGGCTGAGTTGAGGGATTGGAATTGCCTCTCCAGAAGGCCCACCTAAGCCCCTGTAGACAGACCTTCATTTCTTTACCCCTCGGTGTGGATCTGTTTTATATGTATGCGCACCATCCAGACAAGCACAAATGTTCCCAGGTTTAATGAAATCTGATGAAGCACCTTTTTAACTCTGCAGTATTATTCTACCTTCATTGGTAAATGAGCCAAGCTAGTGATCCATGCAGTTTAAATGCAAAATGCTAAAGTGAGCCCGAAACCTGGAGAGGCGGCTTGTTCTCTTGACAATAAGCTAGTTGTGTTTAATGGAATGAAACACAGTTATAATGATTTCTTTCACAGGTCATGTTCAGTTTAAAATTGTTGATAGATTGGAATAAGTTAAATATCATTTATCTTTTATTTATAAGGGAAAATCCCCTGACAATGTCTGTGTTGTTTGGGGGTTACCATTTTGTAGATTGTGACTCTGTTGTATTACCCACTTACGTGATGCCTTCCCCAAGTCACCCCGGCCGGTTGTAAGAATGTGTGTCTGTGGTTTGATCTTGTCACATGTCTTGTGAGCCACTGTGTTTTTAAATTAGAATCTCTGCAAGATCACCCTGTTGGAACAACACACAAATTGTAGTTTTAAATCAGTAATATGATCTAATTAGAAATGATGTTTTCATTTCCTGTATTATTAAATTGAGTCATCTGACTATCTTAAAATGCTTTTTAAATCCATTACGCTATATAATCAGCACATGCTGTGTGTGAATGTGGTTATGCTTAATAAAGGAGACTAACTTGGAAGCTCATAAGAATTTCACCAACGCTCAAATTAAGAAAAAGTTACGTTAGTGTGTGTGGTGAAAAAGGAAATGTTTGGCTTATAAAAATAGATAGGAGGGTATTTTTGGATTGTTTGTCTTTTCTCCAACCTCTAAACATATGAAGGAAAAAACTGGTAGAAATGTATGCATGCAGGTTTGGGGTTTTTTTTTTTTTAAATTTTTAAGAGTATGCCTCCTCCTGTAAACTCCTTCAGAGCGGGTATGCCTGGAGTTCCAGGAAAATGCAGTCTAGCACAAGAAATGCTGAACCTCGGTTTTTAGCAGTGACATTTTAATGATAGGAAGTCTGCAAAATTATTTGCCATCAATTGTGAAGGCAATAACAAGCCTTGGTGGTTTTTCACACTCTCTGTGTTAAGTGCTTTCAGAATGACAGCGTAAACTGTGTTAGAGAACTCCAAGGAAGTAAAACTGATTAAAATGTTCATGCTTGAATGGTGCTGATGGAATAGTTCATTTGGACTTTCTCTACCTCCTGCAGCTCAAGCTGAAATATTAAAATTCAGTGGATTTAAATCTCTCTCCTCTCAGCTCAGGAAAAAAACATTACATTTTAATAGGTTTTAAACCCATAATTCATTGGTTTGGAGCAGCACTATTAAATCTATTTAAATATTACTTATATTACTAAGGAAATGATTTAAATGACTTTGCCTTTACCATCCTATGGGTCTGAGTTGGTTTAAGAAAAGAAAGACAATACCTTTGAGGATTTTCTCCCTCCTCGGAACCCCCTCCCTTTAGCATTTTGTTTTACCGTCCTCGTGATCAGCTCTTAAATTATAAATATATATTTTAGCATAAGTCTTCTTT